AAATGCTCATTATCCATGCTTATTAGGGAGGAAAAACCATTAGTTACTGCTGCTTGGGATGGCACAAAGCCTCACAACGCTCAGATGAACCTCTCCTTCTTCAAGCAAGTCCACCAAGCCATAACTGGCCTGGGCCTGACCCCAGGATCCTCCTTGATGCAGGTTCCAGGGCCCTACACTCCCAGTCCTTGTCACATTCCCCGTTCCAGGGGCTCATGGCCAGCAGAGGATTGAGAATGGAGAGAAAACAGCGAGAGAAGGGCTTGGCTAAAGGCAGAGCAGCCACCAAGGTGACACTGACCCATGGGTGGTGAGGAAGAAGAGGACACATCACCTGGAGCAGACCAGCCCAGAGCCACCAAGGCGACACTGACCCATGGGTGGTGAGGAAGAAGAGGACACATCACCTGGAGCAGACAACCCAGAGCCACCAAGGTGACACTGACCCATGGGTGGTGAGGAAGAAGAGGACACATCACCTGGAGCAGACCAGCCCAGAGCCACGTGCCAGCAGCAGAGGAAATGCCAGCAGGACACCGGGAGCGCTCCATGGACACTCCCACAGGGGTGGCCCCTGCCAGCAGGACACCAGGAGGCACCACCTGGGGCTGCTCCTGCTGCTCTCCTCAGCAGCACCTCATCCCCTGCAGGGCCTGCCAGCTCACCCAGAGGGCTCTCAGGAGGTTCAGCCTGAAGCAAACTGCAGATGAGGAGAACTGGCTCATCCTCAGGCGTCGTGAATCTTTCTGTCCTCCCAGCAAGACAAATCAGGGCATCCGTCCTTGTTGAGAGGAAAGGATTTGGGGGAGTGTCCCTGAGGAGGGAAAGAGCAAAAGCTGTAAAAGAGGAGAACGAGGCTGAGCAGGTGTGGAAGACAAACACTACCTGGCCAGGTGATTTTGGAAGAGAGAATGTTAAAGGTTTTTGAGCAGCCCAACAGCACTGTGGGAGCACAGGTAGCACAAAGGGCCTTATGCCAGGGCAGGATATCAGGTTCCTCTGTTGGCAAGACTGAGCTCTCCATTTTGAGAAGTGACCTTAAATTGTAAATTCCATCAGAAGCTTGAATCCAGAGTAGACTCAATCAGGACAGTGCAGTTATTCAGTCTTGATAATTCTGTGTTAAACCATTTGATGTCCATCTCTGAACTATAATTTTCTTTTAGCAGGGTTAAAAAGAAAATTATTTTATTTCCTTTAAACCCCTTTAGCAGGGTTTAAACTTACCTGAGAACAGCACCAGGGAGCTCTAACCATAACTTGGCATCCTCTGCTCTCCCCAAGCTGCCTTCCTGTGCAAACATATGGCACTGGCCCCTATACATCTGATACCCCCGGACATACCAAATTTAGCATTTCCACACACTTTTAATTGTCATTTTTGACCTTGGAGGTCTCAGCTTTTTCTTTCAGAAGTGCAGGGCTGGGAGATCTCAGTGCTCCAGCTGTGTATATCCCCTGCACAAAAATATAGAAGTTTCACCTCAGGATATTTTTGTTGTTGTTGCACAGTTATTTATTAGCAAGAAAAGCACACTGTTATTAGCTCACAGCCAGCAATAGTCCCTGATTTCAGACATCTGTATGTCCATGCCACTCCCACCCTTCCCACCATGAGGCATTAACGTGAGGAGCCTGGATCCCACGGGGCAGGTGGGAGAGGTGCAGATGGTGAATGTCAAATGGGCAAGAGAGAGGCAGGAGAAATCTCACAAAGGACAAGGAGAGACAGGTGTGGTGGCAGAGCCAAGGAAGAGATAAATAGCCCAGAAGAGGAAGAGCTGAGCAGGAAACAGCAAACTCTCACTGTCTGTGGCTGAAAGCCTTGGTGTTATTTGAGGCAGATAAACCCAGAGTTCAGGACACCAGCTGCTCTTGTAGAAAAATGAGAGATTATTCAAAATTAATTCAGTGTTAAAGAAATAATATGTCACTGTTTTGGCAGCGTGGGCATTTCAGAAGGGTCACCTGACAAAGAGGAGGCCTTGAAAAAAATAGTTTTATTCTCATGTCATCACCCTGTAGGCATTTCCCCTGGGTCCATCCTACAGCTCTTTTCCCATCCTCCCACCCTGGCTGTCTACAGTGAGATTTATGCAACCAATCCCTCAGTGCTTCACTCTGAAGCATAGTGTAATTTTTTCCTATTCAGACAAGTTCATCAGAAGAACTCTAGGTTTAAAACACAGTGGAAACAATTCATTAAAAAAAAAAAACAAACCAAGAATATCCACTGGTTGGTTTTTTTTTCCCTCAGTCATGAGCGCCATGGAAGCAAAGTGCTGCTGGATGTGCAGGCAACTTTCAAATGTCTCCAAAAAAGTCTGTAGCACCAGCTCAGCTGGAGAGGGCAAGGCACAGACGGCAGCCAAGGTCACTGTGACAACGGGGAACATGCTTTATATGCTGAGCAGCACAGGCTGGGAGGCGGCAGACAACAAGGGCTTGACGCATTTGAAGTGTCGCTCAAAGTTGAGCCAAGGTTTCTCCTTGTGGAGGTACCTGACAGCTGCAATCAGCTGCCTATTTCATGTCAGCATTGATTCCAACTCCAGGTCTTGCAATTCTTCCTGTAATTTATTCAGTTCATAGTGATTCACCACGTAGAAAAAAAAGCGAGTGGGGAAAAATCCCCTCTGATAAAGCACCATGGTTACGGGTCGAAGATCCAGCCTTGCTGCACTGACAGCAGTGGGAATCTCATTCCTGTCTTCAGGCAAAGCCTTGTCCACTAGGAAATTCCACAGCTAAAGGTCTCAGTTCTGTCCTCATTTACCTCTGCTAACATCCAGACTGACATTTTGCTTTAACATTGCTTCTTGAGCTACCAGTTTTTCTGCTTCCGAGATAAGGAGGATGATAAAAGTAAATGCAGTCCTGTATGGAGCATGGCAGCTCCTAAAAACTATGGGGTGGAAAAGGGAAGCAAAATAAGCTGACAGTTTATAATACATTTTTTGTTTCCTCCAGTGCACAGGTGAATTGAAAGGTTTCTTATATAAATTTCAGTGGGATTAGTTATGAAACGTGCTTTCTGTCACTCTTTTAAATTGCATCTTTCAATAAATGCTTCATCTCCTACAGCTAATCCTGGATTTATGCAAAAAACTCCCCAAACCACCCCCCTCAAAAGCCAACCCTGTCCCACACTGCTAAACATGTGAAGTGAAGTCTTTCAGACTGTATGTGCACCCAAATAGCCTTTCCCTTACTGTGCATATCCTATCCCCCCTAGAATGGAGGTGGGGATTGTTCTCAGTTCAGATAGTTTGACATGGTGAGATATTTTAGGATAAATACATGTCATTTTAACAGCCAAAATGCATTTTTGTTTTAATTGCCTTAAAGTGGAGTTGTTTTCTTGTCTCCCATGGTCCAAAGCCTGAGCTACTGATCCTGACATGCAGGGAAGGGGCAGCAATCCCTCTGAGCCAAAGAACTCTGGTTTTCCTGGAAAAAACCCTTTCTATTCATCAGGGACTCTCCTGCAGCAGGCACCATAAAGTCAGTGGGACCAGAGGTTCCAATGGAAGAGAAGGATGCTGAGGTGGAACTCAGAGGGGAGAAAAGTGAGAGGATAAAGGGGAATGGGGGGTAGAATAAATTATTTTCACAGTTATTCAGAACCACAGAACAGCAGAGTGTGGACAGGGACCCTGGAGGGCTCTGCTCCAGTCCTGGGCTCCCAGGCTGGATCAGGCTGCTTCATTCCTTGCCCAGTTAGATTTGAACATGCCCAAGGATGGAGATCCCAGTACCTCTCCTGGCCTCTACCCCACTGTTTGAGCACCCTCAGGGTGAAAAAGCTTTTCCTCATGCCCAGCTGGCAATGCTGGCCTTCCAGTCCTGTTTAGCCAGGTTAAGAAGGGAAGGCACTCCCAGGTGCTCCCTGGGACACGTCTGAGCTTGTTTTCTCTCCTGCCCTTTATATAACCCATTTTATGATTCCTTTTAGGCTCTGCTTTTATGCAGTAGCTCTGTAACTGTCTGCATTTCCAATTATAAAACCTTTAAATTTGATTTAGACCTGATAATTAAGCTGTGATTTAGCAAATTAACCCTATTGAAGCCCAGAGGTGTGAGACATGCTCTTTAGAACCTTAAATGTTTGGTGTTTAATTGCATCCAACACTGAGAAAAGTGCAGGGAGGAGGAGGAGAAGTGACTGTGTAGCTAATTCAGGCCACAGGACAGGACCTCATGCACAGATCTCACACATCCCATCCAGACCAGGATTTGCTGCTGTCCTTCCACCACAAGGATTTACCAGATGCACAAAAAGACTCAGTTGGTCCCTGGCATCACTACAAAAGCTTGTCATGTCCTTTGGCTGTTAGAAATCCTGCACCATGATCTGCACAGTGATTGTCTTTGTTCCCCTTCAAGGTCAAAGCATTTTTAGCTGCATTCCCTACCTGCCAGGACAGTTCCAGGCCACAGGGGTGAAACATTTTCCTCTCTTGCCATCAGTATTGACAAACTAAGAAAAATTTAGCCATCCTCTAATTCCCTGGGTTCCAGGCAGTGCTCCCAGGAGACTGAAGCATGGAAGGAAGGCAGGTCTTCACACTGGGCAGGATGGGCAGGGAGAGGTGCTGTGGCCACCTGCAGCCAGGCTTTTGTGTTCTCAGAGCCATGATCTGAGCAGCTTTCATCCCTTCCTGTCCTTCCCCAGCACCAAACCCTTGGTTCTCGCAGAGCTGTGTGATTTTTGGGAAGGAGAACGTGGATGTCCCAGTGCTTCTCACTCTGAGGACAGCTGAGATGTGCTCAGTCAGCAGCAGGGAGGAGCTGGCCCTGAATTCCTGTGCCTTTTTCTCAGATGCTTTGCTCCTGGTCATGAGAAGCAGAGGGTTTATACAGACACGAGAAGCAAATCAGCCTGTGGGGAAATGCAGTTGTGGGAAACAGGCTTAAAATTGTCCCAAAACAGGCCTAAAATTTTCTTATAAGACTTTAGCCCAGTCCAGAGGAAAAAGTGTGTGTTTGTCTTTCTTTAGGGCTTCACAACACCCAGCTCTAAGTGTCACTAGCCCGCAGAGGAACAGGAGTGACCATAATGCTCAGAAAATCCCCCCATTCGCTACGTCAAGCTCTTCCAGCGACACATCAAGCAGCTCTTCACTTTCATCAGAACCAACCAGCCAGATCTCCATGGTTCAGGATCAAACCCTGCTGGACATCACCTCCATCACTAGATTGGCCCCAGGGGAATCACCAAACCCTCAACCACTTGAGCAAAGAGATACAAATTTAGCAATATCGTGTTCCAGCCCACTCGGAGCAAGGACTATTCCAGCATCTCGCCCAGCCAGCCTCAGGCTCAGTCTAACACCCAGCTCAGCCAAGCCACAGCAATACTCTGACTGCTCTCCAGTCAGCCCAGGGATCAATGCAGCTTCCTTCTCCACCTTCTGTCCTCACTCAGCACAAAACGTACGAGCTTCAGCTTCAGATCACACACTGACCCCAACCAGGACAAGCACAAGGCCTCCAGCAACAGCGACTCCTGAAGAGAGTTCCCAGGCTCCTGGCTATTCTAAAACTGAGTTAAAGAATACAGGAAAGGGGTTTGAATCAGATCTGGAAAATCCTGATCATGAGAGGTATGTATCCAGAGCACACAGGTGTCTAAGTCCTCAAACAGCCCATATTGGTATAGAATCAGTAAAAGCCCTCCCATAAAAAAAGTTAAACATCTTTTATGATTCAGATGTTCCCAGTGTTTGTTTTCCAGTAGCCACCCTGTGCTTCCACTAAACCCTGTTAGCCAGGAAGCAAAATGCCCTATTTCCATATACCCATGAGCTCTCCAGACCTCATGACAGACCTGGGCCAGGCTGTCACCCTCAGCTCCTCCATCAGGGCACAGTTTTCAGGTGCCTCCTTTCCTTCCAGAGGAGGCAGCACAACTTTCCCTTGTAGCACAGAGAGAAGCTCTGCTGTCCCCTGGAGCCTGACAGAGCAGAGCAGAGCAGAGCAGAGCAGAGCAGAGCAGGGGATGGTGCTCAGTGACATGGCCAGGATGTCCCCCCAAAGCTCCACTGTCTGCTATGAGCCCAGGCAAGCTGAGCTCACCCCACTCCTCCGAGCCTCTGAACTCCACCCTGTCTCTGCCACTTCTTTCCTTGGCAGGAGATTTGTAACCACACAGGAATTCCAAGCCATGGAGAAAGAGCTAGAGGATGTAAAGGAAGACCTGAAATGCCTGAAGTGGAAGGTGAGACACATAGGTGAGACGGTGCAGCCCCTGGCCGAGGACAGCAAGAGGTACAACGGCTACACCCTGATGGAGCTCAAGGCCATGGTGCAGTTTGAGGATGACCCTTACAAGGCTGCCCACAAGATCCTCACTGCCCTCTTCAGCGATGTCTACTGGCCACAGCACCCAGGCACCGAGCAGGCCTGCAACTCCTGCTCCCTGCCCAAGCCCAACATAGACCCAGAGCTGTACACAGTCTACTGTGACATCCTGAAAAGCATATTCCCTGGAATTAGCAGCCAGACATGGAGGGAAGAGACACAGCACGTGCAGAAAGGCACCCAGAGTGCAGTGCAGTAACAGCAGAGCCCAGAGGTGCTGTGCAGAGCCAGGTCTGCAGTGACTTCAGAGGACTGGGCTGTGCTAGGTCCCGTTGGTCCCTTTAGGATTGTCTGTGAAGGTGTTGGTGAGCTCTGAGCCCTCATGCCACTTGCCCAGTGACACAGAGTGGGATGGCATCCTGCACTCTTCCCACATTTTAGAAAACAATTGCTCCTTTGGTGTCTCTTTCAATCTATGGACGTTTCCTTGTTTCCAGCAACTACAAATGCTGACAAAAGAATCCCACGAAGGCGTTGTACGTCCAAGCAAGGGCCTTCTCCCAGCCCCAAACAGACCAACCAACCAACCAGCATCTGGGTAGTTTCTATTTTCTAGAGTGTATCATTCATTAAATGACATTACTTGTTAGAAAATTGTGCCTGTTCTTTTTTATTTATTTGTCTAAAAGTGCTTTGCACATCAAATCAATCAGCATTGCCACCTGAACGCACACTGGAATGAGACCTGGGAATTTCAAACCTTCCCCTGCCCAACTGAATCCTTGGTTTCAGGGGCACAAAACCAGAGCAAAGTGGTGAGCAGCCATGGAGAGCCCAACCAGGTCATGGGGATCAGGGTACAATGCTCTGCCATGTGCTCCTAAATCACCAACCCAGCAGTGAGACAGGGGAAGGTCGGTGACCTGCAGCTCTCCCAGTCTGTGGGGACTGGGCTGACAGAGCAGCTCAGATGTGTTAACCCAGCTGAAAGGGCCCCTCAAGGTGAGCAGTGCCATGGAGCCTGTCCCAAGGGAAGGAGGACACACAGGAACACGGCCCTGGAGCTCCATCTGGGAACCAGCACCGTGCCATGCATGAACAGTTTGTCCCCCAGGTTCCTCCACAGGCCTGGCCTTGCAGCCTGCTCTGTAAAGGTGGGAGTGGAGGGCAGCAGGGATGTCCTGGCTGCTCAGTGGCAGTGGCAGCCACACTGCCCTGCCCCACTGGTTCACCCAGAGTCAGGGACACTCCTTGGGAAGAGTCACTTGCCTGGTCTCAGTGTGACAAACACATCAAACCCACCCCAGAACATCCATCCTGCTGCTTCTGAGGAGGGCAAGAGGCAACCTGAGAGTTCAGCCCCCCCTTCCCCTCTGCTGGGCTCTAATCCACTTCTAAAGCTTATTCCAAAAGTAACAGGGAGGAGGAAAAAAACCAATTACAAACGCACTGAAAGGAGATCATTCCCAGTGCCAGCACAGATCCAGACACCCTGGGTGATGGGAGGGGAACACAGCCACACCCTGGACCTGCTGGGCACCTCTCTGTGGGGACACTGACTTTGTGCAGAGCTCCCAGCTCCCTTTCAGCAGGATGGTCTCTGCTGCACTCACAAAGACATTGGTTGAAGCTCCCTTTAAAATAGATAAAATAAATTGCTCCAATAAATTGGTAGCAATTTATTTCACTTCCAAACTGCTGTGCAGACACAGGCATGGCACTGCCCACACTGCAGCCTCTGTGCCACACTGCAGCCAAGAGCCACAGCTGGCACCCCCAGGTACCCCCAGGAAAACCAGGGCTGTGCAGTGTGAGCCCTTGGGACAGGGACAGCCCCAGAGGGACTGGGAGAAGGCAGCTCCCTCACAGGTGGGCACTGGGCTGTGCAGGATGATGGGAGCCACTGGAGACACTCTGGAGTCACTGGAGATGTTCTGAGTGTCCCCTCAGAGCAAATCCCCCAGGCTGGACCATCACAAAGCCAATGGAAGGCTCTGTGCACTGAGTCTCACACAAACACCCTCTGCATCCTGTTCTGCTTTCATGGCTCTTTCCTGTAGGAAAACCTGTCCCTTTGGATGACCTGGGTGGGACTAGGCTGATCCTGCTCCCACAGAACACACACAGGCACTGCTCCACATTCATTTTTCTGGGGCAGCCCAGAGCCCCAGCTCTCTCTGAGGTCTCTCTTTGGAGCTTTCCATAACCTCCAGTGGACACTGACAAAAACACATTTAGCAATATCCATCTTTATATGTTGCATTGCCTGCCCTCCCTGCCTGTAAAATCTTAATTCATTTGTTCCTGTGAGAACAGGCTCTGTGGTTTCTCATGCTCATGAGATCAAACAATATGCTCAATTTTCTCTTTTAGTCTCATTCTCCTCATGTCTCAGATCCAGCACAAGCCCATGAATTATTTTTATTAACCTTACATCACCAGAGCGGGTTCTGTCAAATACTCTCAGTTCTGGGTCCCTTTCAGGTTTCAGTGTCTTCTTCCACAGGGTCAGTGGTACTGTGAATCACCTCCACCCACTCTGGAGATGTGCATCAGGTCCTTTACCCTGATAGTCTTGGCTTTCAGCTATTCCAGAGGAATTTCCAGGGTATTTGCATCCAGCTGGAGCTGGCCAGTCTTGTTAGAGTTCTATACATTATTATTATTATTATTATTATTATTATTATTATTATTATTATTATTATTATTATTATTATTATTATGATAATAATATGTATTTGCACCTTCTGAGCCCTACAGTCTGTCTCAGAGCCTTGCCAGCCACAGCAGCCCAAGTGCTCAGGGGAAGGGGAAGAGAGCAGCAGGACAAACCCACTCCACCTGTCCTTTACAGACTCCTCAATTCTTCCTTTCCCTCTGCTGCATTCATACCTTGAAGGCAGCTCTTCTCTGTGCAGATGTCTCAGCCTTCAATTACTGCATTATCTCTGTGACCATTTCCTTGTGCTTGAGGCACCTTCCCTGATTTCTACACAGGTAGAAAAATCCATTGATTTTCAACTCATTTTCCTCTTGTTGATGTGCATTACCAAGTCCTTTCATCCTTCCCCAAGTCTCAGCTTCCCTTGCTGTTTTGCTGGGGATTGAAGCACAGCTGTCTGCCCACCATCCCTGAGAGTTTTTCTGTGTCCAGACTATTTTTTGTGCTCTCACCCACTCCCAACACAACAGGAGGGTGAGGGCTGGCCGCCCACACCTGCAGGAAGAGCCCTTCTCCCTGCAGAGCACAGAACTGAGTCAGCACAACCAAACTAAGACAGCAGTGTCTTAAATCTACAGGCCTGAAAGCAATGTTTTGGCCATGATTTTTAACATCCTGTGCTTGCCAGAATGTGCCCTGTTACAAGCTTGCTCTGTCTTTAGGCTCTAGGTCTTGCTGCCCGCTATTCAGACAGAAAAGCAATTACACAGCCCCATTACTGTGACAGTTAAAGAGATTCAGCCATTGTTCTTCTTGGACAATTCACACTGATTCCAACCCCTCCTGCCTGGCCCCTTAGCATAAATAAGCCTTCTCTGCAAAATGTTATCACCTCCACTTGTATGGAGACAGGCAGGGCAGGCAATCAGACACACAGTGAAAAATTAGCCTTTAAATCCATGTTGCATTCTGTCTACTCTTCATTAAACTGGTTTTTTTTCTCTTGAACACATATTCTCGAGCTCTAAGACCCAATACCAGACCAAATTACTTTCTTTCCTTTTCTCTCTTAACTACAGGCATTACATGTGCTATTTTCCAGCCATGCCTGGGTCCAGAGTCATTAGTATCACACTCATTCAAGGGCCATGCTGGCTGCTGGGCATCCATCCTGCCTGTGTCCTGAGGGCCTCAGAGCCTGGCACAGGCTGCTCCCCCCTGTCACCTCCCAGAGCAGATGTCTGGTCAGAAGTGTGAGGACAACAATATTTTTTTCCAGCCTCAGGCAATCTGCAGTTTGCACTGATTGATTGCATTAAATAAGCAACCTATTAATGTGCCCCCTGCTGTGGCTCCAGTTGGCAGAGCAGATTCTTCAGCAGAGAAGTTGTGTTAAACAGAGGGTCCTGATGCACACTGCTCATGGAATCACAGAATAATTTCAGCTGGAAAGAGCCTCTGGAGGTCAGCTTGTCCAACCCCTCTGATCAGACAGAATTTCAGTAAAAAAAACCTGAATAATAAACTCTGTGCTGCAAAAACGAAACCAGTGCAATTAAAACAAACTTCTAACAACAAAAACAACAGCAACATTTTAAAAATAATAAAAGAACTTAATTTACATCTGCATCAGTGGATAAAGAAGATAAATGGCAAACTTTTTGTAGCACTGGTTTGGAGGGCTCTTTGCTGTGGTTAGTTCTACATGCATCACCAATTCATTTGTCAGCCTTCTCATTAATATCTCTAATGCATAATTGCAGTCAAAGTCACTCATTGAACCATGCATTTTATGACCTCAAGGGTTACCCCTTCATACTGTTAATAATAATATCCCTGCATAATGCAAATGCTTTATGCAAAACAAGTCCACCAGCTCTTCTGCTTCATGACTTAAAATACAGCACAGCAAGTTTTAGGCAACTGTCTGCATCTTTATATCAATTACAGGCATCATCTGGCCTGAATTGTGAGTCACAAGGGTTTGGGCAGTGCCATTAATTACCAGTAATGCCTTCTCCATTAGTCCTCCCTAAAAGGCTGCTCCACATGATGTGTTCTCTATATATTTATACAGCCACTGCCCCTGGCACACTCCATTTCAACCTGACTTCAGTAATTTTCACAATAAACCTACAATCTTTGTTTTCCAAGGTGAAAGTGCCTCCTGAGACCCTTTTCCATTTTTCCTATCCATTCATTTCTGTAAAAGTTTCCATTTCTTTTCCACACAGACCTCTCCCCTCCTCAGAGTCTGACAGGGTAACAAATGCCCAATAAATCATCTCTGGACACTTATCCCCAGCCCACAGGCAGGTGACAACAGTGCAGATGTCCTGAGGGCCTTGATGCTGCTCCCCCAGGAGCACAGGTGACACTGGGACACCCCAAAGGGCTCACACAAGGACAGGACACTGATCCTCCCCAGCCCTGCCCTGAGAAATGCAGACCATAGCTCCTTGCCATTTTATAATGAAGAGTAAATTATCTGAGTGGCCCAAAGAGAGTGATTAAAATACACATCAATGCCTTGCTGGGTCAGTGGGTTTGGATCAGATCTCCCATTTTGTGTTAATATTCAGATACGTTACTACCCCAGAGAGATGAATAATAGTGGCAATTCAATTTCTCTGACAATATTAAACATAATGAAAAGTCATACTATCATCCCACATCCTTCCCCATGAATTCTGGCCACAGACAGATCTCCTGTTGGTAATGGAAATGTCACTTTGATTCATCTGTTCACCAAGGAATCCTTACCAAACAATTTCCAGTATCCAGCAAGCCATCCCAAAACATTCCTTTGGAAACAAGCCAGAACTGACATTCTCTGTAAATTAGTTTTTACCACTGTTTAGGCTCAGACCATAGCAGGAAGCTTTGCTACTCACTCTATTTTTAGCAGTGTCTCCAGCATACCAGGAAAGAGGTGGATCATAGGACTTCTGCTAATCTGCAAATCTGAAATTATAGTTGAGAGATGGAATTT